GGTCTCTTCGATTTCTTTTTGGAAAGTGTCTAAGATTTATGGTGGGAATTACTCATGACAGCTGCATACTTTCCACTGGGTTTAGACCACCATTTGGTCTAATAACTCCTAATTGTGTGTCTATCCTAGCCCAAGCTTCTTCAGAAAAAAAGGGAGGGAAAGACTTTTGAAAATCCCCTACAGCAATACCCAGTGATTTCTGTCCACGGTAAACACTATTTTGAAACTTAAGAAGGTCAGCTGACGATGAACAAATAAACAACATTTTGGTGAATGTGGATTTCTTCAGAGAATTTTTCATCACTGCCCTTAACGCTGGTATGATTAAAAAAAAAAAAAAGGAAGTAAAATGACTTAGTTTCATCGTGTTCCCAAAGTATTTTTAGCAAAAAAGGCAAAATCCCTGTCAGCATTCACAGTCATGGTATTTTCTTGAAAGAAGTACCTCTCAAAGCGATTTTTCTCCAAACTTCACCAAAGCACAACATGGGTACCTTGAAGACATTGCTCATTTAAAAATCATAAGAGGTCTAATTATATTTCCAAAATAAGTAGTTTCCCATCCAGCAAGGATAATGTGGTCATGAAAAGGATGTCCAAATCCACCAATTTACATTGGTTTGGTTTGGCATAACTTTCAAAGTTCTTGGAGCAAAAAGAGGATGGCACGTGACTCATTGTAATTTGGGTAATATTCCCAGGACTTTGGGTTTGCCATTCTGTGAGCCATTCAGGCAAAAGCTAATCAACTTCAAGACTGTACCTATATAATTTATAACTGCTAAAATTCAGTGATATGTTCCAGATTATTTTGCAAAATGTAATATTCTCCTTTTTAAGGTGTACTTTGTCATTTTCACTCTATTTATGTAATTTAAAAAGTGTGATAGCAGGGGAGCACGAGCCATTCAAAGCAGGAGCTACTGATGTCAGAGATTGCTATCCTTCAGAAGATAGACGGTGTTGATATCTCTGAATCTAAAGGGTTTAGAAGTTGTGTCAAGTTAGATTCAAATTCCATCTAATACGTTTTGCTTTACTCCCTCTTACTTTCTGGTTTCTATCTTAAGCCACAAAACAGTTTCTTTGCTGTGATTTAGTTCTACAACCACAGTGGGGGCACTGATCTGAGTTACCCTCCTGTCTCCATCCCCAGCCTTCCCTCCTTTTATCCCAAAAGAAAATCGAGTTATTAATTTAGGATGAGGCTGCTTTGTTTAAACAGTATAGTGCTTTCCAATTGCTCATGCGTTATATATCCAACCATACAGCTCTTTCAAATGTTTTTGATTACGGAACTTAAAAAAAAAAAAACTTCTACTGAAATTTATGAAAGACCAAGGGGTCACTTCTTATGCTGTAACTTTACATTTCTATAAGAGAGAAAGGTTTTGGATACTGGGGAATTTCAACAATTAAAATTCAGTTTATAACTCTAGACAACATATGCACTTCAATAGCATATAAAATAATATTAGAAAAGGAAGAGTCCTAGCTTCAAAATAGAAATGCACTTGATTTTATATATCGTATAAAGAGATATGCATATTAAAGTGAGGCTTAAATAAGGTCCTTATTTGCAATAAAAATATGTTGGAATTAAGTAATTTCATTTACTTGTTTTTGTTTTTGGTAAGGAAGATTAGCCCTGAACTAACATCTGTTGCCAATATTACTCTTTTTGCTTGAGGAAAAGTGTCCCTAAACTAACATCTGTGCTAATCTTCCTCCACTTTATATGTGGGATGCCGCCACAGCATGGCTTGATGTGCGGTGTGTAGGTCCATGCCTGGGATCCAGACCCACAAACCCCCAGGCCACTGAAGCAGAGCGTGCAAACTTAACCCTTACAACCATCAGGCCAGCCCCATAATTTCATTTACTAATGACCTCTGGTAAAGGTCCAACTAATTAGCAAAACAAAACTTAGTTTGAAAAAGAAATATATAGTAAATTTTCTCATTTTTTATTGTAATAGATGTTAATTGACGTTTCTTCTTTAATCGTTATTTTAAATAGGGCTAATTTGACTGATTCTTTAAAAAGCATGGTAAGATTTCTCATTTGAGGAATATAGACCTACATATTCCATTGATGTTTCTATTTTCTAAAATATCCTGTTTCTCAAATCACTGCAGAACAACTGGTAAGTCATGGAAAAAAATCAGGATCACTTGCTTTTTTTTTTTTTATTGTGGTAACATTGGTTTACAACAGTATATAAATTTCAGGTGTACATCATTATTCTTCTAGTTCTGCATAGATTGCATCGTGTTCACCACCCAAATACTAATTACAATCCATCACCATACACATGTGCCTAATCATCAGGATCCCTTTCATTTGGTCAAATTTTGTTTGTTTGTTTGTGGTGGCAAGCAAAATGACATTGTTCACCATTTGTGGTTATGAATGACCGTTGGTTACTTTCAAATCCAAAACTATCACCAACAGCCCCAAACTTGCCATGATAAACATTTTTCTATAGACAATATAGAGACAATATATTGTCTATATTCTATAGACATTGTATATATTGACAATATATATTGTCTATATTCTATAGACAATATAGAGACAATATATTGTCTATATTCTAGAGACAATATATTGTCTATATTCTAGAGACAATATAGAGACAATATATTGTCTATATTCTAGAGACAATATAGGTGATTTTAGGGAAGAATTCCAAAATATTTTCTTTACTGGCTGCGTGTTCACAAAGATTAAATCTACTCCCAAGAGGTAAAAGTTTGAAAGCAACACACTTACTTGAATACATAACTTTTAATATTTTTAAAATTTATCACATTATTTAAAATTTTATAGGTTGAAGCTAAGTACCAAATACTATCTAATGACAAAACAAGGTAGAAAACAGTTAATAAATTATAAAGTTCTGAGTATATATGCATAAACTGAAGACCAACATGATCCAATACCAAAACTAGGAATCAAATATTAGACCATTTTTAATTAAGATGATTGTCACATTTAAGTTGTCAAATGTACATTGTACTTAAAAACAAAAAAACTGGAGTACCTTTTGATTAATGAAGCTATTTTGTGCTTCGGGAAGAAAGAATGTATTTGATTTTTATAAATGTATGTGTCTTAGTCACTTTCACCACACACTAATAGGTGTCCAACCTTATCTCAATTCCTCACATATTCATAGTTCTCAGGAAAGGACAGAGACTCAGTAATTTATTATTAGATTATTCTAGAACTACAAAACTCACAGCAATTAATACATTCGCTAATAGCTATTCCATTTTAAAGATGTTATCCCAAGTTACTCTATGATTATTACATGGGAGAGTAAAAATCATAGTGAGGATGAATAGGTGGGACACAGAGGATTTTTAGGGCAGTGAAAATACTCTGTATGATACTACGATAATGGATACAAGTCATTATGCGTTTGTCAAAAATCCATAGAATGTACACCAAGACCAAATCATAATGTAAACAATGGACTTTGGGTGATTATGCTGTATCAATGTAGGTTCATCAATTTTAACAAATGTATCACTCTGGTGGGGTGTGATGATGTTGATAATGGGGAAGGCTATGCACGTGTGGTGGCAGGGAGTATATGAGAAATCTCTGTACAGTCCCGTCAATTTTGCTGTAAACCTAAAACTGCCCTAAAAAATAAAGTCTTAAAAAATAATGAATGATTGTTTTGAATTATGCCATTAATATCCACGTTATGTTATTCTACCCTAACCTGCCAATTAAATATTTTGCACAGTTTCAGAAATGTTCCTACTATAAAATATAAAACAGAAATGGTAAAGCAATAAAAGAGCTCACTTCATGTTGATAAAGAGCTTCACAAAGCCTTTATTCTGTTACACTATAACAATAAATTCTACCAATTTATTTAATTCTTACGTTTATGAGAATTATAATGTTTAACCGTGGTGCTATACCACCTTCATAGAGAAACCACTGAGATAGTAACCTCGACATTGGCTGGTAATCTCACCCAGGCATCTCTGAGGGCCTAGAGACGTCAAGAAATATACACTCCTGACATTAAAATTATGTTATCAACATTTCTTAAATATGATAATAGTGATTGAATGAATGTTTCTCTTTCTTTTTTCCTGTTTTTTCATATTTTTGATAACTTGGTCATGGAAATAACCAGATGCTGTAAATAAATGTGTGGAAAACAAGTGGTTGATTATCCAAATCTACTGCCAGGATAAGTTATTTTGAATTATAGATGACCGATTTTAAAATAATCTGAAATTAATTTCACCATTTTATCAAGGATTCCTTTTTATTTCTCCTTCCATAATGAAGCACCCCATTGCCTGTAATACACTAAAGATTTTCACACTGGTTATACATCTGGAATAGAATTTTCATTCTATAGTTTCAAATATCAGACCAATACATGTTATGCTATAGTGATTACTGGAAAAAGAGAATGGAATGGAATAGAATAGAATAAGAATGTGAGGGAAGGAAGAAAGGGAGAGAGAGAGTGACAAGAGAAGGGAGAGGAAGGGAGGAAAGGAGCGAGACAGGAAGGAATGAAGAAAGGAAAGAAGGAGGGAAGGAAGGAAAGAAGAAGGACTTTACAAACGCCTTGAGTTATGTTATATTTCCAAAAAGGGGCAGTAATACATATACACGTGCAAGTTCTTCTTCCCAGTCTCCGCCTGTAGTTTAATTCCTGTCTTTTCCTTGGGAATGAATCACAATTATATTGTGAAATCCCGTGCTACCTACTGCTCTTCTGTGGTTCAACCAGACTCACATTTGTTGAAGATGTAACTGTCTTTGAATTTCGTGATTAGTTTACTGGGATTAAAATATTGAAGATTGCTTGGTTTAGGACATAGAAATTTGTTTTCTCTGTGAGGAACAGATATTTAGTGGTGATTTACTACTTTTTCCTTCCCATGTTTATTAACTTTTTTCTTTTACCATCTCAGTTCTCATATGAGCGAATATAAAACATGCCCTTTTGTTTTCAGGTCTAGATGTGGATGGAATATATCGAGTTAGTGGCAATCTGGCGACAATACAGAAGTTAAGATTTATCGTCAACCAAGGTAAGTGATTTCTTTACTTCAGATATTTTTCCAGTAGTTACATTTCTACCAATGTTTCAGATTCTATGCTGTATACATTGTGAATATATAACGATAAAAGCTTTGAAAGGAGAAAGAGAAAGTTGAAGAAATCAAACAATTATCACCAGACAAGTAAAAGATAGCCAGTTTACATGGAGATAAATAGAATAGGAAGAGGGACGAACTAATAGTTTATGTGAAATAAATAATAAGTGGAATATGACAAACTAAAAATGGAAAAGAGAATAATAAAAGTAAAAAAAAGAAAAATAGTCTAACTTTTAAAAGTATTACTGGCATATAATAGACACTTTCATATATGTTGAAAAATGAATGAATAAATAAATGATGAAAAAATTGAGTCAAAATCACAGATGTTAGAAAAATATATAATAGATAAGTAAAAGAACTAAAAATTAGGAAATGCATATATCGTTAAATAATTACAAATGAAAACAATAATGAGATACCACTGCACACCTACTAGAATGGCTAAAATCTAAAACATTGGCAATACCAAGTGCTGGCAAGAATATGGAGCAACAGGAACTCTCATTCACTGCTGATGGAAATGCAAAATGGTACAGTTACTTTGGAAGATAGTTTGGCAGTTTTTTATGAAAATAAACATATTTTCTTATGTTTGTATGCAGCATGGATATTCTTACCATACTATTCAGCAACTGCATTCCTTGGTATTTACCCAAATGACTTCAAAATTTATGTCCACACAAAAACCTGCACACAAATATTTGCAGCAGCTTTATTCATAATCGATAAAACTTGAAAGCAACCAAGATGTCCTTCAATACATGAATAGATAAACAAACCGGGGCACATCCATATGATGGAATATTATTCAGTGATAGAAAGAAATGAGCCATCAAGCCACAAAAAGACTTGGAGGAGCCTTAAATAAATATTACTGACTGAAAGAAGCCAGTCTGAAAAAGCTGTATACTATATTAGCCCAACTATATGACATTCTGGAAAAGGCAAAACTATGGAGACGGTAAAAGATCAGTGGTAGCAGAGGATTTGAGGGGAGGGAGGGATGAGTAACTGAGCATGTTTGTCAAAGTCTATATAACGTACAATGCAAAGAGTGAAACTTAAACTATGGACTTCAGTTAATAATAATGTATCGATATTGACTCATCAATTGTAACAATACGCCACACTAAAGCAGGATGTTAATAATAAGGGAAACTGTGGGGGGAAGGAAAATAGGGGGTATATGGGAACTCTATATTTTCTGTTCAGTTTTTCTATAAACCTAAAACTTCTCTTAAAAATACTATGAATTAAAAAATTAAAAAAATTAGGAAAGGTTGAAGAAAAGGAGAGTAAAACATCATAAGGTGTGTTATAGATAGTTCATAGGTTTATAATCAGACGTGTGGGGTAGAGCCCCTTCTCTCTCCTTGCGTCCTTGGCATCTTATTTAATCTGCCTGTGCTCTGTTTCTTATCAGTAAAGCTGGGGTGGGGGCGGGGGGTGTAAGAAATGCCTTGGAAACATTTGTGAGAGTTAAATGAGATAACATGTGGCATTCCCTTAGTAACATAACAGACTCATGGTAGCTGTTCAATACATGTAAGTTTTCCTTTCACTTAAAAACAGTCAATGATGTGTCTGCATTCAAGAGAATGTACACATAGTCTTCCTAATCAGGCTTTCCACCTACCTTCTAGCTAGCTTCAGATCCTCTGCATTTCCTTTACAATGCATTCCTAACTGTACTCCCATATTTATATACTGCTATATTTCTTAATGTTTTGCATACTCTCTTCCTTCTACTTTCAACATCCTCCTATCTTTTTCCTCTCACCCCACATACGTAAGCTTCCTGCCTGGTAGATTTCTCTTTATTCTTCAAGGCCCAAATTATAAATCTCCTCCAGGAAGCCTGTGATATTCCTCCACTCAGATTCCTTTTTTGTGTTCGTATTTCACTGGGTAGTTGAATTTTTGTTGTTACTGCCATGGAGTTGGTCCCAACTCCTAGCCACCCTGTCTGCAGCAGAGCAGAACCCTGCCCGGTCTTTTTGCGCCATCCTCTCACCTTCTGGTGCTCTTTCAGACAATGCTCCACTGCTATTCATAGGGTTTTCATGCCCAATTTTTTCAGAAGTGGGTGACCAGGTCCTTTTTTCTAGTCTGTCTTAGTCTGGAAGCTCCATTGAGACCTGTCCACTGTGGGTGACACTGCTGGTATTTGAAATACTGGTGGCATAGCTTTCAGCATCAGTTGAATTTACAGTAGTGCATATACATCTCTTCTAAAATTCCATCTATTCAACACCCAGAGATTTAATGCCATCTTTTGGAGAGAATATTATCAAATGTACTCAGTGATTATATTTCAGAAACATTAAAATTTGAAAGTCTTGGAATAAGAAAATAGGATACTAGTTGAAAGATCTGTTCCACAAATCTCTATATGTTTAAAAAGGTAGGACTTGAATCATCCTTGTATCTTCCACCATTAGCCAGTAGTAGCCCAGCCCTGGGTCCCCATAGAGGGAATTCTTAATAAACATTTGTTAAATAATGTATATATGTGTATATGTGCACGTGTTGCAGACAGGAGACGTATTAATACTGAGAAACAAATTCTCCAGCAGTTCAGCTCGAGTTGAACCACCCTTTTAAGTGTTGACTGCAGTACTTTTGGCCAGTGGCTGCATGATTCTTATTTCTGAGAATCTCTATAACTGAGAACCTCCACAGCTCCGCTGGCTCACTAAGGTGAACCTTTGCCTTTCACAATCACTCTCTTTCCTGGACAAAAAAAAAGAGCTAAGCTATACCTCATTTATTCCTATTGGCCCCATTAGACTGAACCAGAGTGCACCCTCTGTGGGTAAAAATTGGGTAAAATCATCCCAGCCTCATTTTCATTCCTGTTTATAACCAGCTAAAATCATTCTTGCAATATATTTCATGCTGAAACCATTTCCTGATTGGGATTCTAGACAGCTGGGCAACACATTTCTTCTACAAAGAAGAATTCTCAAAACAGAAGCCACGCTAGAAACAAACACTAGTTGCATTTCCTGCCTTTAAAAAAAAATTATGCTCAGCAGTTTGAAAAAGCAAAAAAAAATCTGCAATGAAAATATGAAATCTGTCCATCTCGTCTTTTGCTATCCAAACTTCAGCGTCCTCTGAGGCTGTGTAGCTGCTCATGTTTCCAGGAGAATTGACAATGTAAAGCTGGACAGGGGCCTGAGTTGGTATCTGGTAGCACAGAATTGTCAGTAAACTGTCTCCCTGGTTTATAGCACTGTCAGAATGCAACACATGCAACACAAATTATGCTACATTAGGACCTTTGATACTGGTGATTTTGTCCAAGTTGTGTTGTGGAGTTTTTTCACTTAGACGATAAAAGAAATGTATATACCAGCCTATCTCAAATTTTGCTAATCAGATTATCCTTTGAATGAAAATCTTGGAGTGGACCCATAACCTTGGTGCTAACACCATACCTTCCTCTCCATCTACACACTGGTCTCCGACAGCAGAGCTGACATGGAGGAGAATCAGTGCTGGGTACAAAGAGGCTGAATGAGTACATTGTGGCCTCCCCTCTGTGTGTGTGTGCGTGTGTGTGTGTGTGTGCGCGATGAAATAAAGTGGCAATGCAGTGATAATTCCGTGAAAAGCGTAGAGCAATATGTGAATGCAAAGCATTCTTTTTTGTATTCAAAGACGGAACATAAATGATTTTGGCATACCCTCTTGGTATTAACACCTTTTATCTCCTCGAGTTCACATTCCACAATGTTTCCTTTTTAGAAGTTTCTAAATATATGTTTTTAAAGTGAACACGCCCTACCCACCATTAGGCTAAACAAATGAAAACTGATTTGGGGGATTTTCAAGAACAGTTCGATTGCAATTTATGTATTTCACTAAATTTCTTGAATGCTATAATCATCAGCAATTCTAAATATGCCAGTTGAATGATTCAATTTGTTTTGGTCTTCTGTTCGACTCCCTAAGTCAGTAGGAATTAGACACCCTTATTATACTTCCAGATCAGATGGCACACAAGTTCAGTTGAAAGTGATAACTTTTGAAAAGCATTTCCTAATTATAACTAGTAATGATGATAGTAATTATTATTATTATAAAAGTAGCTAACATATTTTCATAATTTATTATCTGCCAGGTACTCTACTAAGTGCTTTACTTATGATAGCATTTCATTTAATCCATTCTACCATTCCATAGAATAGGTACTATTATTGTTCCCATTTTAAAGATGAGGAAACTGAGGCTCAGAAATGTTAAATCATGTGTTAAAGTCATACAGCATGTAAGTGAGGGAGCTGGGACTAGATCCAGGTCCCTCTGCTGAAAACCACTGCCACGACTCGGCATTTCCCATCCGTTAATTGCTGGTTACCTCCTTATGAAAGTAGAGATCAGTCTTTTTATGCTACATGCACCTATTAGTGACTTTCTGTTTACACCCGGGTTTCTGGTATTGGTAAGTGACAAGTACTGCCACAGGAGTTTGGCTAAAACTGCTCAAGAAAGAGAAGTGCCTGAGAAAATGCCAAACATTGCAGTCATGAAGCTGGCACTGCCATTCTCTGCAGGGCTTTATGTATCTAAATTTGCACCAAGAAATTACTTGAGCACGTTATTCTGCTGCAGCCTTCAGGAAAGGCATCAAGGATTCTTGATTTACTGGGCTTTGGGTACATTAGCGAGCATGCTCTGCCTTGTTTGTTCTATTTGGTGATAGCTTTCAATGACATTTTGCTGATGCAACTCTTCCACTCTGTGAAGACATCGCCCAGAGAAAACTGGTCCATGACCTTAGATGTCAACATGCCCTCAGCCTGTGACACTGAGTTGATTCTTCAGAATGATGTGTGACCTGATGGTTTTCTTGCATGAGGGTACTTTTGCAAAGAATAGACATCAGCATTGAGGATGCTGTGTAACTGTCTTGAGAACTT